TATTTCAACTGGTTTATTGTATCTTTACAATAATAAAAATAAATTAGTCACACACAAAAATAGTTGTCATTTTTGCTGAGAACAGACCATATTTACTCACATAATTCACCTTCTACCCTTCACCTGCTTACGTAATAATTTAACACTCTGAGGGGACACGGAGGCGATGGAATCTTTAGTGGGTTCCTTGCTCCTGGCTGTGCAGTTCACAGGCCAGCCACCCGCCTCGGCCCCAGGTCCCCAGCAGGGACAGTGGAGATGTCAGGACAGTAAGTACTGCCACTTCCCTCTTAGCCGCTCCCTGTCCCTGCCAGCCACCTGCCTCATCCACAGCTCTAACCAAGCCTCCCAAGCAATTGACGCTGCCAGTCCAAAAACGGGACAAAGCAAAGAGAAAAGGGGTGACACCCTCCCATTTCCTTCTCCAAATGTCTGTGGATGAAGGGAAGGCAGATTAGATGAGGAAATATAATATTTAAGATGAAAAAGTGGCAATCAGGTTCAGGTACAATGCTCCCTGAATGAGTCAAAAAGCAGAGTAATTGATATTTGATCTTAAACCCTGGGGAACTGGACTGATTTGCATACCAAACAACTGTAACTATGGACTGAGAAAAAGACATCAATCGTTGTACAGCGACACTCCGGAGGCTGGGTGAGTACGGTCAAATGATTTCACACAAATGTGGATCGCATACGTAAATAAATACCTATGGAGTCCCTTTAAAATTAACACATTCTAAATAATAGAACTGTTTTGGTGTATGACTCATTCTGCAGATAGAGTTCAGGATACGTATTTCCTATAAACATCTTGTATTTACAGAGGACAAAATAATAAGTTATAACAAAGTATATCCTTCTGTCAACTGGGTCGCAGGGAGGAGTCAAGGCAGGGCTTGTTAGTTTTGTGTAGCAGGTAGCTTCCCTCTCGCAAGACAAAGGGCTGAGAAAGTTGCTGGAAGTTTTCACCATCCTGTGGCCACTTCTCAGCATGATGGGCACCCCCCACCCCCACCACTATCTGCTGAAAAGAACGGGCATGGGGGGTAGTTCAGGGTGAAGGGAGGTACCTGAACGAAGGTGCCCCTGCGAAGGTGCAGGAACCCAAGGTGAGCTGAGAAAGAGTGATGCTGTCTACAGGGTCCTAGGCAAGTCCTGGCTCTGATTCCACTACAGTGAGTGGCCCTGGGCAGGCCCCCTGCCATCCTGCCGCTTGGTTACTCCTCTATGTAGAAGGAGGCTCTGACCAACTTGCCAGTGTTTCTCTGAGACATGAGGCCACATTCAGCTCAGGGTTTCAGTCCCACAATGGGCTCCCCATGGCTGACAGGGTGGCAAAAGTCAGAAATGTAAAAGCACGTAGCTATGTACTTGCCCTCACAGACCAGATGAATCACCTAAAGCTTTTCTACTTATAGATTCCCCTAAGCCCCAAGTGGGGAGGGCCCTGGGCATCACGCTGCCCATCCAGACGCCTGAATCCCCTCTGCAGCATCCCTGACAAACGGCCTCCACTGCCACCTCAAGTGATGGGTGGGGTCACCACCTACCACAGTCCCCTTCTCTCTGGAAGGCTTCAGCTTGTGAAAAGCTGGGTCTCTGCAGGCGCTAAACTTACCTCCCTGTAGCTTCTCCTTCCTGGTCCTAGGGGAGCTCTCCTTGTGCCCAAGTCCCTTCTCCAGCCTGAAGGTTCTTATGAAGTCCTTCCTGCTGTGTCTGAGAATCTGAGCCCTTCATCAGGTGGGGGAACTGATAGGCTGACGTTACAGATGATCAGTATTCTTCTTAAAGCGTGGTTCTGGCAAATGCAAACAAAATGTGGCATGACCCTCACCACTGTCCTCTCCTCACGTAGCCTGCCTGTCTGTGGGTTTTGTTTTTCTGCATGTTCCAGCCCACTTTCTTGACTCACACTGAGCTTGGTCAACTGAGATTCTTGGCTCTCTCCAACCTTGTATTTATATACTTTTTTGTTTTATTCTAAATATAGGACTTCACGTGGATTTCTGGTGACTTTTTAAGATCCAAGTTTTATTCTAGTCTCCCTGATCTTTCTGGAACCAGGATCTGTCACCCAAGCCATCAGCTCTCCAGCTTCACGTCATCCATAACATTTTGTGAGGAAGGCATCTACGCTATTTTCCCATCTAAACCACAGTAAAATGTTTTATATGGCAAGGATCAAATACTTGTCTCCATCCACCAGGTTGATGGAGATTACGCAGCCTGTTTTAAGGGAAGTCATGCTTCTTTTTACCATGTATATTTGTGTCTTCCTCCTCATTAGAAAATTGATATTCCAACTCTAAAGTGGCTATCCTAAAAAAAAAAAAAAAAAAACAACCCAAAACACAACACTGGTTTAGAAAGGTCCTGGTAATAATATCTGGATTTCTCTCTCTGCCACATAACTTGATGAAAATACATCAAGCTCATGTCTCCTGTTTTCTCTCCCTTTGTAAGGCCATTCTTTTAAAGCAAAAAGAGTGTTGAATGCTAACCACTTTGAGAATAAGTAGATGATACGTATTTAAGAATATAAAGAAAAAACCTCCAAGAACTCTGGGCCAGAGAAGGTAAAGGGATAGGTGGGGACAGTGCTGAGTTGTCATGCTCTAGCTCCCTGGGGTGCATGACAAGGCTGCCTTGCTCCCCCTGGGGTCCCCAAAAGCTTGCAGGCAGCAGGCACTGAACATGCGTTCACGGAACTGAACTGACGCCCTCTAGTGGCTGGCTGGCTTTACAGGTTTTTTTTTTTTTTTTTTTTTTTTTTTTTAAGTTAGTATTTCTTGGGCTGTCCCCTTTCTACGGAGAGAACCGCAAGTCATCGTGAGGGTGGAGAGGATCGATTGTATTAAATGTCCGCTGCCTAGGCTGCAAGAGGCACAATTTCCTTTTCCAATGACTGAAAGTAAAACGGCAAACTATTTTTGTTCGGACTTTGTTGATTTTTGTGAGGAAACCATATAACAGCTTTAATTCATCTAATTAAAAAATTCAGAGCAGGACATGAGGTAATCCAGTACCCAGCCCCCGCTCCAAAAAAAAAAAAAAAAAAAAAAAAAAAATAAAAAAAAAAAAAAAAAAAAAAAAAAAAAAAAAAAAAAAAAAAAAAAAAAAAAAAACACCCAGTATTGAAATGTAAATTTCAACTCCACATGATGGCCAGTTAAGGGAACATGGGAAGACCAAAAAGAAGATACAGCAGTGGCAGAAAGGAGAAGGGGAAGTCAGTGGGCACCAAGAAAGGAGAGAGAGCTGTATTTGGAGGGAGACAGCCACCAAAAGCTGGGCTTTTGTTAGGTCCTCTCCCCAAGGAAAGTTATCACTGGAAATCCCAAGGCCCTAATTGTGTGCATTGTGCCAGGGAGAAAGACATTCAGATGCTGAAATAAAAAACCAGGGAATTGGTAAAAACTGGATCTCTCAGACAAATACATTGATCAAACTCCTGTTCTAATCATCTATAACCTCTCCAGAGATGAACTCCAAGAATAGCTCAATGGTTTGTGAGAAAAAAAGAAAAAAGAGACCTTTGGTGTATGTATTTTCTCCCCTGGGGAGACATGGGGCTGATCCACTTGCTCCTTTTCAACTGCACAGTTGGCAGCCAGGCCCATTCTCATGGAGGATCATTCTCCTTTTAAATAATGGTTAGGTAACCTTCAGGAGCCACAGGACACTTTAGACATCAAAGAGACAAAGCCATCACTGACCCAGCCCAGCCACGAGAATTCCTGAGTTGGAAGAACCAGGGTGTTCAGCTCCCACTCAACAGAAAATTCCCTTTAAGGACAGAGAGCTCCCTTGTATGTGACGGCCCTTGCCTCCGGTGGGTGGCTCTGATGACTAGAAGGTGTTCCTTTAACTTGAGCTACAATCAGCCTTTCTCTCGTCCACCCACTGATCTTACCCTGCCCTCCAGCATGAAAAGAAAACCTCTTCAAATGATTGGCTTGCTGGGCAAGATCTGAGAGCAGCCACATACGGGAACGCCTCCCCTCGTGACAAGAAGCAAAACAAGTGGTGAGTGGGGAAGAGCAGGCCCTGGACAGCACCGGTCAATATGCTCCGCCTTTCTCGTCTCTTGCCTTTGTCAGTCTGGGAGCCTGGGCCTCTGCCAGGCTGCTTATCCGCAGGAGTTCCAAGAGAATCAGGAGAGATGGGGATGCTTTTGGGAAATGATGCCTGGGGCTCCCCAGAAGAGAAGCTGGAAAGCTGCCCACGGAAAGGCCAGATAGAATTTCTAAAAGCCCCAGGTTAATGGAAGCCTAATGAGCATGTCTGGCCAGGCTGCCATGTTGTTTCCAAAAGCTGCAAACCATCATCACATGAGCCGATTTGTCAGCTGAAAGAGCAAAGGGGGGAAACAGTTTGCTAAGAATCCAGGCTTGCTTTAAAAGGGAAATATGCCCCCCAGGACCGTAAGATAAGTTTTCTGTAAGTTTACAATTTGTTAACTTGCTATTTTCCTTAATGGGTAAAATATACATCTATTCCTCTTAACCGGTTTTTCAGAGGGTCCACCTTTCAATAGGCGCTGCATCCTCCTTCAGACCTGCAGCCTCTGGAACTGGATAGTTGGGGGAAATGAACTGGAAGAGATGGGGAGGGGTCCACAGTGCCTCGTCCCAGGCCAGTTTTATTCATGCAGATCTTGGTGAGAAAGTCTGGGCGTGAGGGGTATGCACTGTGAGTCCTGGGGGAGGGGAGAAATTGTGGCCAGAGAAATCCATAAACAAAACCAGAAAGGCCAGAAGGAGACTTAGTCTAACACAGCAGTGTTCTGGCTGGGACAGTCTGGCTGGACTCACCCTGGGGATGGTGAAGGGCATGGGGGAGGTGGCTAAGGCAGGGCAGAGCCCAGGGTGCAGAGCTGTGTGCTTCAGAAGTCAGCTCTGCGGTGGGGCCAGAGGGCCCAGAAGGACCTTGGCCGGATTCCTTTGGGAGAAACAGCACTTGGAATGGAGTCAGAAATTCAGGCAGTCACCTGGTTCCCCCGATGGCTTTCTAGTTTCACGGACAGTTTAACAAAGCCTGCAGAGTCCTGTAACTAGGGTCTGTAACTTTGCAGGGAAGGGAAGGTAGGAACAGACGTCCAAAGCAACTGAGTGCTGGGATACAGACTTGATCAGAAAGATTTCAGGGGCCTGGGCTTTGTTTGGATTCTGGGAAACTTCTCAGTCCCCCACCCCCAGACTTGGTCAGAAATGAAGCCACCACCCTTCACACCTAAGGACAGCCCCCAAGCTGGTATTGGTAGATGACTGGGGCAGGGACTCAGCTCTTCCACTGGATGGGCGAATACACCTGGCAGGTCAGTTACCTCAGTTGAGCCTCAGTTTCTCTGTCATTAAAATGCGGATGATGAATCACCCCCTACCTCTCATTCCGGGTTGTTGTGAGCTGCTAAGGAGCTAGTCTCTGTGAATATACCTGCTAAATAAAGCACAATAGTCATGTGAGATATTTGTGTCATACGGCAGGAAACAGTCTAATGTCTTGAGAATGAAAACAGGCACAGCTGGGCTGAGGTCACAGAGGGATGCACGCGTGTCGGCAAGGCTTAGAGGGGCTCTGGATTGGGGACACTGCCTCCTTGGACTCTCCAGGGAGCTAATGTTAGAAAGGCCAGTAGCACCATGGACGGGGCGGTGCTCAGGCAGTGGCCCATCTGCAGACTTGAAAGGTGCCATATGGGAGCAGGGCTGAGAGCTCCATGCACTTCCCGCTGCTTGGCTTTCAAAGGACACCATTAGCAGGTGCCAGGTCCAAGGAGGGGATCATCAGTACATGGTGATGCTTAAAGGACCAATCGTGGCTTTCAAACATCCTGTGTTCAAAGCCCCTGGGTACAGGGGGTGGTGACTAAGCGGCTTGGCAGTGCCTGGGCCAGGGGGCCCTTGATGGAGCAGCAGCCAGCCAGGCGCACTGCGGAAGCCCCTGGGAGGGCAGTGATGCTGCCCCACGGATGGGGTGCGGGGGTGTTATCTGCTCCCCAGGAAGCCCGTCTGCCTGTTGGCCACACGGATGCAGGAGGCGCAGCACGCAGTCTTGTAGTAGTTGTAGACACAGAGTCTGGCTTGGACCACCACGTTGCAGTTGTAGTACTTGTCCTTGCAGTTTTCATCTGCAGTGGAAGAGAATGAACAAAAGGCTCCCTGAGCACAAGAGGCAGCCTAGACTCCTGGGAAGAGAAAGGGTCGTGGCAGCGGCTTTAACTCCTATGCTGCTGTTTGTTACCTAGGTGAGGTGTGAATGTGTGCCAACAGCACACAGGTTTTTCTTTTTGTTTTTTTGAGACAGGGTCTCGCTCTGTCGCCAGTCTGGAGTGCAGTGGCACGATCTCGGCTCGTCGCAACCTCCACCTCCTGGGTTCAAGTGATTCTCCTGCCTCACCCTCACGCCAGCATGCCCAGCTAATTTTTATATTTTTAGTAGAGATGGGGTTTCACCATGTTGGCCAGGCTGGTCTTGAACTCCTTGACCTCAGGTGATCTACCTGCCTTAGCCTCCCAAAGTGCTGGGATTACAGGTATGAGCCACTGTGCCTGGCCATCTTTCTTATGAACATTGTAAGGGAAATAGGTATAGAGAAAAAGTGACCGAACTGTGCCTCACTTAACTCTGATCACTTCCTCCTTCATCCTCGTCACTCTAGAGGTAATCAGATGTCCCAAATTTGGTGTTTCTTATCCCTAAACATTTCTTTACACTTAAACTCTATATGATGTAATCCCTCACCACTCTATGACATTTAAACATAAAAAGGTAAGTATTGTATATTTATAATTATATATATTTAAATATACAAATATTTGTATATAAATATGTATTTATGTACAAATATTTGTATATAAATTTGTATATAAATATGTATTTATATACAAATATTTGTATATAAATTTGAATATAAATTTGTATATATATATTTATATACAAATATTTATATATTTATACATATTTATATAAATATATATTTACATACAAATATATATATTTAAATATATATTTATATACAAATATTTGTATATTTATACATATTTGTATATAAATATTTTTATATTTTCTATTTAAAAAGATAAATATTGTATATTTATAATTATATATAATATATATAATTTTTATCCTTGGCAACTTACTCAACATTGAATTTGTGCAATTCATATTTAATGAATGCTCTAAATAATTCATTTTCCTTATTGAATAGAGTTTTCCTGTCTATATAATATAATCCACAATTTAATCATTTTCTGCTGATGGACATTTAAGTTGTACACTAATCCAGTGTTTTTTTCTTCTACTGCCAGCTTTTAAGCAGTTTTGTTACCATCCTCTATCTGGGCCTTGCTGGGTCATAGGGTTTGTGCAACTTTGCTAGATATGGTCAGTTTGTGCTTCAAAGTCAGTGTAACTATTTACGTTCCTGTCAGTGGAACAGAAGAATTCTTTCCACCATATGGTTTAGTTTTTGCTGATCTGGTGAATGTGAAATGATTCCCCTGTGAGGCTGAGCATATTATGTATATTTGCCATTCAAGCTTCCTTTCCGTGAATTGCTTTTCTTGATCTTTTGCTCATTTTCTGATTTAGTTAACTTTAAAACATGATTTGTGAAAATTCTTGATATCAGATGGATCTGATCCTTTGCGAGGTGGGTTACATGTGCCGCAATTATCTTCTTCAGCCTGCGGCTTTTCTGACCACTTTGCTTCTGGTGTTGTTTGATAAACAGAGATTTAAAAATTTTAATGTAATTGATATTATAATATTTTTTCTCCTTAGTGCTTTGGAATTGTTGGTTTTATTTAAAAAACCCTTTTGTATTCTGAAATGAAACATAAGTTTCCCCATTCTCTTCTAAAAGTTTTAAAATGCTCTTTTCGTATTCATTTGACTAATCCACCAGGAATTAGGGTATGTGGTGTGTGTAGGAAGACAGGAGGGAATTCACTTTTCTTGTTCTTTGGTTTGTATGTGGATGAACAATTGTCTCATGACCATTTATTGAATTGTTTGTCTTTTCCCCACAGATTCATAATGACACTGCCATCGTACATCACGCATCCTTTATGTGTTTGAGTTTATTTCCGGGCTCTCTATTCTGCTCTCCTGGCTTTTTAAAATCCATTCTTGTGCCCATATGCCTTGATATGTGGTAGGAAATTCCCTCAGCATGGTTCATCATCAAAACTGCCTTGCTCTTCTTGGTTCTTTGCTTTTGCTCTTCTATATAAACTTTTTTTGAGACAGCGTCTAGCTCTATTGCCCAGGATGGAGTGCAGTGGCTTGATCTCAGCTCGCTGCAACCTCTGCCTCCTGGGTTCAAGCCATTCTCCTGCCTCAGCCTCCTGAGTAGCTGGGATTACAGGTGCATGCTGCCACACTCGGCTAAGTTTTTTTTTGTATTTTCAGTAGAGACAGAGTTTCACCATGTTGGTCAGGCTGGTCTCCAACTCCTGACCTCAAGTGATCCACCTGCCCCTTAGCCTCCCAAGGTGCTGGGATTACAGGCCTGAGCCACCATATAAACTTTAAACACAGGTTGTCAGATTTTTCTATGAAAACCCTTGCCTGGATTTTGGTTAATATTGCTTGAATTTATAGA